CGGCGGCTCGACAACGGCGGCCGCAGGCCGGGGATCTGCAGAGGCGCGAGTGCTGCTGCCGCCGGCTGATGAGTCACTATATAAGACAGGCAAGGACAAGAAGGTGTATGTTAGTACACACTAAATCCTCTGGTAGCTCGCACGCGCCAGCTATCTGTACCGAGAAAGAGAGAGAGAGAGAGAGAGAGAGAGAGAGAAACGTGCGTGCGTGCGTGCGTGTGAAAAAGTATGTGTGCATGCGTGTGAGAAAGAGAGCGAGTGAGGGGGAGAGATTCTTTAATAACGAGACGTTTTGACATCGAGACATTCAGTTATTAGCAAGTGTACGACGAGTAGCTCGAAAAAGCTCCCTCATGACGAGACGTTAAAAACTTCTTGTTATTGTTTGTTTTACAATCTTCATTATATACCGACTAAATTGATAATTGCCTATGACTATAAGTGAAGAAGATTGGTATTGAGTCAGTGTATTATTACTTCGTAAATTAAAAAAATACAATAAGTTTTTTAAATAAGATTGTAATAATAATTGAGAGATCAAAAAAAACAAGAGAACATAAAATAAAATGTTTGTAGAGCATTGTATTCAGTTGTTATATACAGCAATCGGTAGTACTAGCACCGATGCTTTTCACACCCTCCTGGTGTTCTTCGGGGTGTTAGCAATCGTACGTCTCGTACAGTGGTACCGGCAGCTGCTTTCGTTACCGCCTGGGCCGTGGGGTCTGCCGCTTTTTGGCTACCTGCCCTTCATGAAGGGTGTCGACCTTCATCTAAGATTTGGCGAGCTGGCAAAGAAGTATGGCTCAATGTTTTCTGCAAGGCTGGGTACGCAGCTGGTCATCGTGTTAAGCGATTATAGAATCATAAGGGAGACTTTTAGACGCGAGGAATTCACCGGCAGGCCGCACACTGAGTTTATCAACATATTAGGGGGATATGGTGAGTTTGCCGTAACTAACACGTGACTGTTTAATCCAGGGTTGAAAAAATTGTTTTGCAACAGCTCATTTATTGCAGGATGTGTGATAATTTTAGCTTTTCAAATTTACTTTATTTGTATAACCGTTATAATTATTTGCAAGTTGGTGTTAGTTTATTTATAATGGATACAATATTAATATTTGACGATTTCATGTTTGAAATAACTTTCACTGTTTAACGTTTCATGTGCAATAAAACTTAAATCTACTATATATACATATAAAGTCAGTAATAATACACATCAAATACTAGGATTTGAATAAATTTAAAATTAAAATTTTACATTGATAAAGTAATGTTTATTTACTATAATATTAAAAACCAAATATAATCAGTTCATAATTTAGTAATATAAATTTTTATAGAATATTATTTAAGTGTCTATTTATTAAGTTACTTTCAAAAACACTAATATCGCATGAAAATTTTATTTTAAAAAATAAAGATGAGAAAGTAAAATAAAAAATAATTTGATCTTAATTATTTTAACAATTAAATTGCTGTAAAATAGAACTTATATTTTCTTTATTAAATAAAAGATATGCAAACAAAATATAAAATTACTATAGTAATATTGCTAAATATTTTTTTATTTACTATTATTTATGATAATAACTTTTTATATGTTAATCAAATTTTTTTATTACATTATATTACTTTATTCTATTATTTTATTATATTTTAACAATGTTGGAAATTGTATATGAATTTTAATAGAAAATTTTTTAAAGATTCACATTTATACTTATATTCAATGTTCAAATTACTTTTTAAATAAATATGTTATCCTGGATAAGTATTATTAATAATTGAATTACTGAAGGACCAAATTTCATTTATAGTTTATTAAAATATTAAATAATTATTCACAAATATAATTAAATTTTTATCTATATTTAAGTTTTATTCATTGCAGGAAAGAGTTTATTTCAGTGCTTTAAATATAATTTGAATATTAATAAGATAATAAAATTTGGTCATTTTTTGCAATTATACTTCAAATATTATTCAAATGTATATTATTCATGTAATAAATTTTTAATTCTTTTAAATTTTTAACGATTTCTTTTACTTAAATCAAAATAAAATCTTCTAAATAGAAACTTAATTTATATTATTCACTAAAGATTAATATAAATTTCAATTTTACATTATAACAGGTATTATTAATTCCGAAGGTGCCTTATGGAAAGACCAAAGAAGATTTATTCATGATAAGTTACGTAATTTCGGTATGACCTACCGAGGTACAGGAAAAAAAGTGATGGAAACAACTATAATGGTAAGATATCAACAATTTATGTGAAAAATCATATTATTTATAATTGTAAATTTTTATTAAGTAGTAAATTAAAAATATTAAATATCTTTTAACATTCAATAATTAAAAAATTTAATTTTATTCTATAACAAAATATTTTATTAAATTTAAAAATATATCAAAGTGTTTATAAACTACATGATTTATAATTTATATTACATTTAGATTGTAGTTAAATAGAAAAGCTAAATAGAAAATATGAAAACAAAATTTCTATATTTATTTACAGAAAGAAGTTGATTTATTTATACGAAGTTTGGAGATAAAAGAAGGTGCGCCAACAAACGTATCGTTTTCCTTAGGAATGTCCATTACGAATGTCATTTGTTCAATTATAATGAGTGTACGTTTTAAATACGGTGATAGCCGCTTCAAACGCTTTATGAACCTTATCGACGAGGGTTTTCAACTTTTCGGACGTCTTAGCTTCGTCAATTACATCCCCATGTTCCGTTATCTTCCTTGGTTGCAATCTGTTAAAACCAAGCTCACTGCCAATCGTGAGGAGATGGCTGATTTCTTCCAAGAGACCGTCGATCAACACAAAGCTACTTTCGACAAGAGTAACATACGCGACCTCGTCGATGCTTATCTGCTCGAGATCGAGAAAGCCAAGGCCGAAGGCCGCGAGGACAAACTTTTTCAAGGAAAGAATCACGGTTTGTATTATGTTCCTCATTATATTTTATATTCTTTTTATATTTTCATTCATGCATCATTACTTTAAATAAAATACCTTTGAATTAAATTAATAAAATCATTATACTTTATAATTACTTTATATTTCAAATATTTATAAATGTATGTTTAATAAGTCTTTTATGAACGTTTGCAATTAATTGTTATTTAATTATTTGCATTGGACTTACGAATTTTTTTAATGTACTTAAATCGATAAGTATGGTATTATATTAAATTATTACAGATCGACAACTACAACAAATTTTAGGTGATTTATTTTCTGCGGGTATGGAAACAGTAAAAACGACGCTCGAATGGGCTGTGATTCTCATGTTGCATTATCCGGAAGCAGCGAAGGCAGTTCAAGAAGAACTTGATCAAGTTGTCGGAAGATCACGAATGCCATCCCTTGAAGATCTTCAATTTTTGCCTGTTACAGAGGCAACAATTCTTGAAGTTTTACGAAGAACAAGTATTGTTCCACTTGGAACTACTCATGCTACTACTCGGTAAGTTAATTGTTTCCTGTGGATATTTATTTATTAAAGATCATTGATTGACAAATTAGCTATTTTCTCGACTGTAAGAAAAAATATTGGATTGAGTTTTTTTATTTTTTATTTAATGATTGCTTACTACATATTTATTTTAAAATTACTTATACTGAATAATGTATTAATAAATTTATATAATTACAAATTTATGTAAAACTATTTTTTCGTATAAATTAAATAAGTTGAGTTTTGCAATATCAATAAAGAAAATCTTTATTTATTCAAGAGAAAGTCACTTGAACGTGAATTTCAAATAACTGAACTGCGTAAATTTAATCTGTTCATATTCTTTTTCTCAAATAAAAAATGATGAAAATAAACTTTGAACTAAAGAAAAACAAAATTTATGCGCTAGTACTTACAAATGAATGTCATAAATATTCTTCGAATTGCATTATATGGAAAAGTTGAGTACATAACCAAATAAAAGAACTAAAGAGAAAGTTATCTGGTCGCAAATTTTGAATTCGATCGCAACCTCGCTGCGATAATGTATGGCAGTCAAATAATTATCGAACGGACGACTTGCAAAGGAAAAAAAGGAAGAGAGAGAAAATAAACTCGAGCATTCGTGTAGTTACACATTTTCTCTTCTCTCATTCTGTTTGTCTCGTCTGGGGCGCAAGGTAGCATGTAACTATGAAACAGTGGACGACGATCAAGGTGTATGTAAACCTGTGTTAGTGGCGGACACCGTTCACAACGGTGCTCCGCATAGCACCGCATTGAACAAAAGTGAAAGCTAACTTGGCACTGCCGCTTTTCGGGACGGGCCCACCTTCGATTTCGAGGTCGATGACACACGTATTGCCACTGCTATTACTGTCGTTACCAGTCACTAAGTAATGCCCAATATTGGACCTCAAAAGCAAGTATTGCAACAAAAATTGTAATCTATAGAAAAAATAGGAAAACCTTAAAGGTGAAATGAAATTAATACGGAAATTAAAAAAAAATGAACGCGACTTATGACATTTTTTAATGTGTTAAATCTGCAATTTTTTTACGATATTTGAACATTTCGACCTTTTTTTATATTATTTATTAAAATATACTTTACAAGTCACAAATGCATAAATAAAATAAAAATTTTACCGAGCAATTCATTATGTAGTTTAGTTTTTTACAATATTTAGTTTATTTCAATACATTATTTAGTTTTTTTTCAA